TTAGAAGATTTTATAGGAATTTTCAAACATATTTCGGGATTTTGAATCGATTTCCAAAAATTTTTATATACAACTACTTATTTCTAAAAATCTTAAAGAATTTAAACACATTTTTAAACATATCCATCGATTTTTACGGATATCTTAGGATTTTTCAGTGTATCCAAGGTTTTTGAATGAGTTTTTAAAAGAATTAGAAGGATTTCCAAGGATTATTACGAATGTCTAGAACTTTCAATTCCTCCCAGACACTTATGTATGCATCTCTTAGTATTTCCAGGAGATTTCCACAAGATTTCAACCGATTTTCAAGTATATCATAAAAATTTCTCAGAATACCTAAGGTTATCTAGGATTTTGCAAAGATTTCTATAGAATTTCAAGTTTTTAGAAGATTTTATAAAAATTTCCAAACATATTTAGGGATTTTGAATCGATTTCTAAAATTTTTTATATACAACTAGGTATTTCTAAAAATCTTAAAGAATTTAGACACATTTTTAAACATATTCATCGATTTTTACGGATATTTTAGGATTTTTTAGTGTATCCAAGGTTTTTGAATGAGTTTTTAAAAGAATTAGAAGGTTTTCCAAGGATTATTACGAATGTCCAGAACTTTTAATTCCTCCCAGACACTTATGTATGCATCTCTTAGTATTTCCAGGAGATTTCCACAAGATTTCAACCGATTTTCAAGTATACCATAAAAATTTCTCAGAATACCTAAGGTTATCTAGGATTTTGCAGAGATTTCTACAAAATTTCTAATTGTTAGAAGATTTTATAAGATTTTCCAAACATATCTAGGGATTTGAATCGATTTCCAAAAATTTGTATATACAACTAGGTATTTTTTTAAATCTTAACGAATTTAGGCACATTTTCAAAGATATCCATCGATTTTTACGTACAAGGATGGAGCAGAGGATCAACTAGAGTAGGGCAAATACTATTTATTCGGGGAGACGTTTAAAATTAAAAAAATCCTAACTTACTAAAAGAAAGATAAATTAAAATTTAATTTAAATTTTTTTAATTTTAATTAATGCCTGAAACGGTACCAAACATAACGTCCAAAAATTTTTATATACAACTACTTATTTCTAAAAATCTTAAAGAATTTAGACACATTTTTAAACATATCCATCGATTTTTACGGATATCTTAGAATTTTTCAGTGTATCCAAGGTTTTTGAATGAGTTTTTAAAAGAATTAGAAGGATTTCCAAGGATTATTACGAATGTCCAGAACTTGTAATTCCTCCCAGACACTTACGTATGCATATCTTAGTATTTCCAGGAGATTTCCAAAAGATTTCAACCGATTTTCAAGTATACCATAAAAATTTCTCAGAATACCTAAGGTTATCTAGGATTTTGCAGAGATTTCTACAAAATTTCTAATTGTTAGAAGATTTTATAAGATTTTCCAAACATATCTAGGGATTTGAATCGATTTCCAAAAATTTGTATATACAACTAGGTATTTTTTTAAATCTTAACGAATTTAGGCACATTTTCAAAGATATCCATCGATTTTTACGTACAAGGATGGAGCAGAGGATCAACTAGAGTAGGGCAAATACTATTTATTCGGGGAGACGTTTAAAATTAAAAAAATCCTAACTTACTAAAAGAAAGATAAATTAAAATTTAATTTAAATTTTTTTAATTTTAATTAATGCCTGAAACGGTACCAAACATAACGAGGAATTAAAAAAAAATCGATTTCACGATTCAATTAAATCCAACTAACCGTCTTAATTAACTTAGAAATTATTTTTGATTACCTCCTTTTTACTCAGTAATCTGCGACGTTTTAAACCTTAAATCCGCTTAAAATGACTAAAAAAAAATGTTTACTTCAAATATTATCGTTAATTTTTTCTTTAAACCTAATCCTTATTTGCTTAACCCAACAAATCAAGCAAATGGGAAACCGTATAACGAACGGCACGGAAGCCTTAATGAATTCGTACCCATTTATGGCAAGTGTAATTTTTCACGGTGGACATAAATGTGGAGGATCTATAATTTCAAACGATTGGATTTTAACCGCTGCTCATTGTTGTTTTTACGAAGGTAAAGAAGTTGGAGATAATCTCATTCAAATTTCCGTCGGAAACGTTTATTGGCGAGACGGTACTTTATACAGGGTCAACAAAAAATTTGTACACGAGGCTTATGATCCAAATAATGTAATTAACGATATCGCATTGTTTAAAACGTTAAAAACGATCAAATACGGTTTATCCGTTTCTGCCATACCACTAAATCAAAACAACATCGCTAAAAACCAAGAGGCTATTGTTATAGGTTGGGGTTCCTACATGAACACGAAAGGCGAATTGATTTACGAGCCATCAAACAAGTTGCAACACGTCGTTATTAAGGTGGTTGCTTTAAAAATGTGTGAGAAATATTATGGGACGATGTCCTCGAAAAATTTGTGTGGATTCGGGGGTAATTCGAAAGGAAGTTGTCAAGGCGATTCTGGTGGACCTCTTATTGTAAAAAATGAAAATAAAATGACATTAATTGGAATCGTTTCTTATGGATCGGATTGTAGTAATACAATTCCTGAGGTTTACACGAATGTGAATTATTATTATTCTTGGATTAAAAAGGTTATAAGACAAGAAAGACTTAAGATTAATTAATTAATAAAGAAAATGATATAAAAGTTAAAGAAGTTTTGATTTATGACTTTGTTAATAAACTGAAGACTAGCTCTAGTTTCACACTAGCATTGTTACTATGTAGAACTAACACTATACCTATGTAGAACTAGAATCATTTGGGTTTAGCCGTCTTTAGAGACGTGCGGCTAAACCCAAATGATTCTAGTTCTAGGTGCTATAGTGCTAGTGTTAAACTATAACTAAAACTATACCTAGAACTAGAAACATTCGGGTTTAGCCGTCTTATGAGACGCACGGCTAAACCCGAATATTTCTAGTTCTAGGTCTAATGTTAGTTTTAGTAACAGTGTAAGTGTAAAACTGGAACTAACACTATACCTAGAACTAGAGTCATTCGGGTTTAGCCGTCTTTAAAGACGTGCGGCTAAACCCAAATGATTCTAGTTTTAATTGTTATGCAACGCTAGACTAACGCTAGAACTAATACTAGACCAAGAACTAGAATCATTCCGGTTTTCCCCTTCATTTCCACCTCTTAGCCGTATTGATTTTTAAGCATATTTTGAAGTGCGTGTACAAAAAACGTCGTTTATATAAAAAATAAATTGAAGATAAATGAGTTGCATTATTATTATATTGCAATAAAAGTGTATTTATCAAATTATCAAGCCAGTTTTTTCAAATTGTTCGTAGATTCTATGATTTTGTCAAAAAATATCTATTATCTATACTATATAGACTATTAATAGATGAAAGACACTGAATAGGGCTAAGAAAGAGAACAAAGGCACTGGATGGAAAGCAAAAAGATTGGAAGGTAGAGAAAGAGGCACCAGACTGAAAAGAGGTTGTCAATGAACAAAAGAAACTGAATAGAGTCTGTATAGGAAACTCAGAAAATAGAGAACCTCAGAAAATAAAGTGCTTCTATAACTTCTTGGAACTTCCTGCTGCTCATAATATTGATGACAAGACTTTTAAAACTCATCACCTATTCTACAGGGTGATTCTTAACCTATACACATAAACTTAGAGATTTATTCCTTATGATAAATAATGACTAATTGGTGAAAAAGACTGTAGCAAAAGTTTTTTATTTCCTAGATATCCTTGAAATTAATTTTCGAATTAAGAATATACACCTGTATATATATACCTATAAGAATATACCTCAGCGAGACCGGTCATTAGACGTATCTGGGGTTCTAGCCAAACAAAAAATTTGAGAATGCAGACTTAAGTATTATCAATTACGTTCTCTTCATCTAAAATATTTTCAGATTTCTAGCACTTCCGGTTATACCGGAAGTCGCCACCTACTTTATTTTTTTAAATGGAACACCCTGTATATTTTTACATATTTGGATTTGTCTGTTTTGAAGGTTTATAAATAACTTTACTTTTTGCAATTTGAACCAGCAATTCTCGAGTTATTCGAATTTTTCTAGAAAAATTTGCTCCAGCGGACATTTGTTCAAAAAATCATAGAACACTCAATTTTTGAGATATCAATTTAGGATTCAGAACATGCTTAAACAACATGATGGAGTATGTTTTGGTGCCGAGAACGGCTGTCTAGATCGTTTGGTCACTTTACTATGATACGTTAACTTTTCGAAATTTGGAAGCACCATAACTTCATTTTTTTAAATGGCACCCCCCATATTTTATTACTTAGTCGTCTTCGGCGTCTCATTTTACATCTTTTATATTCCATATGTCCTATGCCTAACATTAATAGTTTGAGAAATAATTAGGGTTTTTTGAAAAATGCTCACATATCATATGGATATTAACCTAGTGTGCCATGGAAAACAAATGTTTAATGACTTATTGATAAACGTCAAAGTCTAATTTAGGTTGTTTGATGCTTGTGAGTCTAAAACCAGTTAAAATGGATATTAATAACGTAAATAATGTTTATACAAATGAAGAAATCCATAATTTATTTTTTGTGCACGAAAAGTGCGACAAAGTTCTTAGTAGAACTTGCAGAATGTTTAATGAAAATTATCCACATTTATCTCCGATGACAAAAGGTAAATTTAGAGGAATAGAAGCAAATTTTTTGCATTTTGGACGAATTAATCACGTGTTAAACTGACCAAAAAATGTAGTAGATAATGCAACGGAAGAGGTGAATACCTTGGCTTATTTCGAGCCCAGTCCCAACACCTCAATTCGAGCTGCCAAAGAAGATCTGGGAATCATACTACGAACTTTGTCGCGCTTTTCATGCAAAAAAAATAAATTAAGAATTTCTTGATTTGTGTAAATATTACTTTCGTTATTGTTATCGATTTTAACTCGTTTCAGTACTAATATTAAGGGACATAACAGATAATTATTAGCTCACATGCATCAAGTGACGTAAACAAGTGAGTCTTTGACAAGAACTCATTGAGAAGGCTTGTTTTTCATGGCACACTAGGCTAAATATCCATATGATATGTGTGCATTTTTCAAAAAACCCTAATTATCTCCCAAACTATTAATATTAGGTATGGGCCATATGGGATATAAAAGATGTAGAATGAGACACCGAAGACGACTAAAAAATAAAATATGGGGGGTGCCATTTAAAAAAATGAAGTTATGGTACTTCCAAATTTTGAAAAGTTAACGTGCCATAGTAAAGTGATCAAACGTTCTAGACCGCAGTTCTCGGCACCAAAACATACTCCATCATGTTGCTTAAGCATGTTCTCAATCCTAAATTGATATCCCAAAAATTGAGTGTTTTCTGATTTTTTGAACAAATGTCTGCTGGAGCAGATTTTTCTAGAAAAATTCGAATAACTCGAGAACGACCGAATCAAATTGCAAAAAGTAAAGTTATTTATAAACCTTGAAAACAGACAAATCCAAATATGTAAAAATATACAGGGTGTTCCATTTAAAAAAATAAAGTTGGTGGCGACTTCCGGTATAACCGGAAGTGCAAGAAATCTGAAAATATTTTAGACGAAGAGATCGTAATTGATAATACTTAAGTCTGAATTCTCAAATTTTTATTTTCGCCAGAACCCCAGAAACGTCTAATGACCGGTCTCGCTGAGACACCCTGTATAGGAAATTACTTGAAACTTTTAAAATTTTAAGTACACTTGTGTCATTGTGACATTTAAATTGTGTAATAACAATAACATAACACTTAAAGCTTATAAAAATTATGGCACCCAATTTCTCTGAGGAAGAACTTATGGACATGGTACTGGCAAACGGAGAATCACGGCAAAATTCTGTGCTTGCGGCTCGTTTCTATGCAGAAAGGTTTCTAGAGAGATATCATCCGGCACGTGAATACCTTTTACGTGTGGTGCAAAAAGTGGTAGGAAAAATGGCAATATTCGATCGAGGCATGGGCAAAGTGCAGGAGCAGTTAGACCTTTACACATTGTTAATGTCAAGGAGGAGATTTTGAATGTCGTCGAAAAATGCTCTTGAAATAAAGTCTTTGATACATTTTAAGAATAAGACTAAAGTTAATGACAGTAATGACGATAAATCTTTTAAAATTAGACCGTTGTTAGATATGATAAGTGCAAAATTTTGGTATATTTCAAGAAAATTTGTCCATAAATGAAATGATTCTAAGACATTCTGATCACCACTCACTAATACAGTCCATAAAGTGTAAACCAATACGATTTGGTTACAAACTCTGGGCACTTTGTGCCGAAGATGGATATTGCTATTTCTTTTTTCCTTATACTGGGAAGGAAAGCTAATCACAATCAGAATCTCTTGGCAAATGCAAGTACGTGCATAAATAAATAAATAAATAAAATAAAAATCATAGATTTGATAACGAAAATAAAATATTGTTGGTAAAATGGATTGATAGCAAATGTGATTGTGTGACCACAAATTTTGATACCATAGAACCAGTAGCATCACTTGCAAAATGGAGCAGAGAACAAAAATCGAAATTGCAAGTTGCTTAGCCAAGACTGATTCACCATTATAATCGATACATGGGTTGGCTCTTAGAAAAACGTTCTGTAACGATAAAGGGTAAGAAATGGTACTGGTGTCTAGTCACAAGGATCATTGATATGGCTGTTGTAAACTCCTTCGTGCTATATACAGTGTGTTAATTAATTATTATTATTATTATTATTGCTGCCGGGCTGAGGAGGGCGGCCCCTCTCGTTACCGCGACCTATAAGATCTATTGTAACTTTAGCCCTCCAAAGGTTTAGGGCAAATGTAGGTCCTTAATGAACCTTAGTATTGTCCTAAGGTCTTGAACCTTTATGTCGGTAGGTAACAGGGGAGTTTTACCGAAGACGTTGTGCCTTAGACGTCCTCTGGCGACGCAATTGCACAGTATATGTTCAGCAGTTTCTGACTCGTCGTTGCATAGTCGACAAGTTTGATCCTCAGCTTGTCCAATGTGGAAGAGGTGGTATTTTAGGGGCACATGGCCGGTTAGGTAGCCTGAGAGCGTTCTTAGATCCCCTTTGCTGAGGCATAAAACCTCTTTGGTTTTGTTTTGCGACGGAGTTATTATACTCTTCGCTTGTCTGTGACCTGGAAGTTCTTTCCAGCGTGAGGCTATCTTTGAGGCCTCCCAGTTGTTGATTATTTGTTTTAGGTGGCTTTTTTGTAGTCCACATCCAGGTTGGGGTCCAATGAAGGGCGTCGGCTTGTCGGCTTTCTCATTGCCCTCAATGTTGCTGTGACCTGGAACCCACCATAGGGTAACATCATTGCCCCTAGCGAGTTCTCTCAGGTTGTTGGTGCACTCTCTGATCAGTGCGGAGTCACACGTGTAGGCCTGAATTGCCTTTAAGGCGGCCCGACTGTCTGTGAAAATGTTTATGGATGCACCTTTTTGTCCCTTCTGTAGGTTCAAAGCAGTGCAGAAGTTTATAGCAAGAACTTCTGCTTGGAAAATTGTTAAGTCCGAGCTGAGGGGCAATTTGATGTGGCTATTTGGTCCACTGATGCCCATGTTACTCCAGATCTTACTGTCTTTGAAGCATCGGTATACCAGGCTAGGGCTCCTCTTTTTAGTTGTAATTAATTATTGTACCCGACGTCATCATTGCAAGTGTGCAACCAATGCCACAGTATTGACATATTTAAAGATTGTTCATGGAACAAATGTTTTGAAGGGTAGACTCTATACAAAGGACACTTCATTGAAAGAAAAGCAAAAGTCGGTTACTTTTTGCAAAAAATGTGATGTTACCTTATGTATTACTTGTTTAGCAGTCTTGAGAGAAACACAGCTAAACCCAAATATTTCTAGTTCTCGGTCTAGTTTTAGTTCTAACGATAGTGTTTGTTGACTTTTAACGATACACTTCATCTTTATTTTGCGCTAGGTTGGATTGTAGAACAAGAATTTCATCGTTTTATGGATAGACCTAGAAAAATGTGCATTTACCACATCTTTTAACCGGTTATAATTAATCAATTAATTATGTTAAGGTGTTAAAGGAAATCATAAATAAAATCAATAAAATATTTTAATTTATTTTCTTTACTAAACTCAATTTTACTAATCCTCATCGTGTCTTTAATCCATTCATAAAAAGCCGAAATTCTCGTATAAACCTCTGGAACGCTATTATTACAATTCCCCCCATAAGAAACTAACCCAATCTGCATAACTTTTCTAGTTTCTGTGCTAACAAGAGGACCTCCCGAATCCCCAGTACAACTACCTCTCATCTTATAACCCGTCATACAAATATTCGTCGTTTTTAAATTTTTGTAATATTTTTTGCACTCATCATAAGGTACGCTAAAAATTTCGACCGATTCCAAAACTAAAGAAGCTTTATTTACAAGGAGTTTCTCGTCGTTTGTGTAACCCCAACCAATAACGGTGGCGGTGATGTTAATTCGATCGTCAAGAACTTTGAGTGGATGTATCTTGACCCAACCCACACCTTTCGTGAAAATAATTTTCTCTTTTAATCTCAATAAAGCGATGTCGTTTACGTTCGTGTTTCGTTCGTAAAATGGGTGTAAATATTTTTTGATCACTTGATAACGTTGGCCGTCCGCCCAATATTTACTTCCAACTGAAATTTTTAAATTTTCCGGTAAGCGTTCCTTGTCGCGGCTAAAACAACAATGTCCCGCGGTTAAAATGATGAAATGGCTTATTATCGAACCCCCACAAACGTGTTTTTCTTTATGGAGGATGCTAGCGAGAAATTCGAATAGTTCTAATTCAACATTAACACCTTCGATTATTCTGAAACTAAGTTCTTCTTCAACGTTTTCTTGGTTACTTTGTAAATCGGGGTCGTCATCTTCAATTTCATTCGTTCTTGTTAAGAATAAAATGTAACACAAAATGATTTTTAACTTGAATAACATTTTTTTAAGACTTAAAAAACAATTATAATCGGAATAATAATTAAGTAAAATCTTTATTGCGTTATTTTTTATTGCGATATCGCATTGTAATCGTATTCGAATAATTTTATTCAAAAATTGTATTTAATTTTTAACTTATGTAAGAACTTTTTACAGTTTCTAGGCTTCCATCAACATCTTTTCTATTATTTAGCCTTGATATCTTCTTCCATCACCCCTAATATTTCTGAACATCAACCCTAGTACTTGATATCTCTTTTCCTATTGTTATTATTATGAAACATGCTAAAACAAGTAACAAATAAGGTAACATCACATTTTTTTGCAAAAAGTAAGGTCGACTCTTGCAACATTGGATATCAACATTGATTTGCTCTCCTTTTGATGAAATGTCCTTTCTTATCGAGTCTTATACTGTCCAAAATTTTGGATTTTGGGGAAAATGGAACGCTGAGGGATCAAACCATTTAAATGGAAATTGACTTATTTCCATGAATTCTTCTATATAACAAGAAGGTGTTTACAACAACCATATTAATTATACTTGTGATTAGACACCAGTACCATATTTTACCCTTTACAACAATATTTTGTTTTCGCTATCAAATCTATGATCCTCGCTATCAATGGATATTTTGCAGTCCTATTTTCTCTAATAGTAGCTGTTGCACGTACTTGTATTTCTTTTAATTGATAAAACAAGGCATGATTGCTAAAAAATTATCAAAATGTAAACAACAACTTTTTGGATTTTTTACAGCAGTTAGCAATTTCAAAACAACTCGAATGCCAAGAGATTCTGATTGTGATTAGCTTTCCTTGCCAGTATAAGGAAAAAAGAAATAGCAATATTAATCTTCGGCACAAAGTGCCCAGAGTTTGTAACCAAATCGTATTGGTTTAGTCTTTATGAACTGTTTTAGTGAGATACTTTAAAATCATTTCAGCAATGGATAGATTTTCTTGAAAAATACCAAAATTTTGGATATTTGCATTTACTACATCTAACAATGGTATAATTTTAAAGGATTTATCTCCTTTACTTTGTTTAGCTTTGGTATTATCCTAAAAATGTATCAGAGACTTTATTTCTTAGCATTTTTCACAATAGGTTGTCCTATATCTATATACCTATATATAAAATATACATATATTAGGTTGGGTTCATTTTACTCCAATTTATATTTACCTTCTTAGGTTTCTCCATTTTCCGATTCTTCTGCAAAGGTGCGAGAAATACTAATGCTACATTATCTTCTTCGTCATTGTCATTCAAATCCTTGGAGCTGGCATCAATCGAATTTTTTAGGGATTTTAGACTTTTTCTGTGAAGTTTCTAGAATTAGTAATGGCTTATTAACATCATCATCGTTTCAACCTCAACAAATCCGGCAATATCTTGTGTATTAGGAAACTCAGTATTTTCCTCATCAAGGATTTCCTCGTTTGTCACTTCATTTACATCTGATGACAAAGCTAAAGTGGTCCATTACATCTTGGAGATTTTTAAAAACTTCTTTTCTGCACATCCTAAAAAATAGAAAAAAAATTTACTGTGAGCATATTTTTTTGACAAAATCAAAGAATCTACAAATAATTTGAAAGAGAAAGATTTTTTTGCAATAAAATAATAACGCAGTTCACTTACCTTCAATTTGTGCTTTATATAATCGATTAAAATACTTTTTTTATTGCACATTGTATCTACATTGTTGTGCAAGTACAACAGACACACTAATATAAATAGCGAGGGAAATGTCAGTATTTTCTGATCTATAAAGAATTTACGGCACTCGTCTCAATACTTCAGACCACATATCAGACCAACCGGATCAGTTCTCCCAGGCTAGCAGAGAATATGAAATAGCGATTGACACAGTGTAAGCAGTTCTCAACACCAATCTACGTATTTCTCACCCATCAGATCTTTCTGAACACCTCTCAGTGTAAAGACAGCTTCAGCTGTTTTGTTCGAAATCAGATTTAGTCCGTTGCACGCAAACCACTTCTCGGCCTCAGAGCGCAACGCCCGATTTACTGCAACAGCATCAATGAGGATTTTATGTCTGTTGATTAAAGCAGTATCATCAGCATAAAATATGATTGAAGACTTAGATATTGAAGCAGGCAAGTCATTTATGTAAATGAGGGAAAGCAGAGGCCCCAACACTGACCCTTGTGAAACTCTAATAGAAATGCACTCTAATGTAGAATAGCTATCATTACAACAGACTATTTGTCTTCTGCCCCTAAGGTACGATTGAATCATCTTAATACTACTGTCAGCATCGTTATATCTACTCAGCTTCTTTATTAATGAATTATGGTTTACCTAATCAAAGGCCTCTCTCATAACAGTCTGTTGCAACACACAGCAGTTTAACAGTTTGTTGTACAAAATCAAATCAATGTTGTACTTTTCTTTGATTTTTCAAAAATTTTTGAGAATATATATATTTGGAGAATATATATATTTTTCATTGTACTAAAACTAGAACTAACACTAGACCTAGAAACATTCGTGTTTAGCCCCACGTCCCTCAATACGGCTAAATCGGAATGATTCTAGTTCTAAGTCTTGTGTTGTGTAATGGATGGTGCAAGAGTAAAACTAGAACTAACAATATACCTAGAACTAGAATTATTCGGGTTTATCCGTCTTTAGAGACGTGCGGCCAAACCCAAATGATTCCAGTTTTAGGTATAGTGCGAGTTCTAGTAATAGTGTAAGTGTAAAACTGAAACTAGTAGTATATCTAGAACTAGAATCATTCGGGTTTAGCCGTCTTTAGAGACGTGCGGCTAAACCCAAATGATTCCAGTTCTAGGTATAGTGTGAGTTCTAGTAATAGTGTAAGTGTAAAACTGAAGCTAGTAGTATATCTAGAACTAGAATCATTCGCGTTTAGTCGTCTTTAGAGACGTGCGACTAAACCCAAATGATTCCAGTTCTAGGTATAGTGTGAGTTCTAGTAATAGTGTAAGTTTAAAACTGAAACTAGTAGTATATCTAGAACTAGAATCATTCGCGTTTAGTCGTCTTTAGAGACGTGCGGCTAAACCCAAATGATTCCAGTTCTAGGTATAGTGTGAGTTCTAGTAATAGTGTAAGTGTAAAACTGAAACTAGTAGTATATCTAGAACTAGAATCATTCGCGTTTAGTCGTCTTTAGAGACGTGCGGCTAAACCCAAATGATTCCAGTTCTAGGTATAGTGTGAGTTCTAGTAATAGTGTAAGTGTAAAACTGAAACTAGTAGTATATCTAGAACTAGAATCATTCGGGTTTAGCCGTCTTTAAAGACGCACGGCTAAACCCGAATGTTTCTAGATCTAGGTCTAGTGTTAGTTCTAGTTTTAATTGTTATGCAACACTAGATTGTTATATATTTTTATTGAACTAAAAGTAAAACCAGCACTAGACCAAGAGTTAAAATCATTCGGCTTTAGCCGTCTTATGAGACGCACGACTAAACCCAAATGATTCTAGTTCTAAGTATAGTGTTAGTTCTAGTTTTATTTGCTATTTAGCACCTGATTGTTGAATATTTTTATTGAGCTATCACCAGAACGAACACACCTAGAACTAGAAAGTTTCGGTTTTAGCCGTCTTCAGAGATGCACAAGAATTTCGTCGTTTTACGAATGGATCAAAAATATGATGATAAAATGGTGATTAGTAAAATTGAGTTTATTAAAAAAAAAAAAAAATAAATTAAAACATTTTATTGATTTTATTTATGATTTTCTTTAACATCTTAATTAAAATAAATAATAAATCAATTATAACCGGTTAAAGGATGTGGTAAATGCACATTTTTCGAGATCCATCCATAAAACGACGAAATTCTCGTGTAAATTTCTGGGGTGGTGTTATTACAATCGGTGCCATAAGAAACTAATCCGATTTGATAAACCACCTTGTTAATTTTTACGACTAAGGGTCCCCCAGAATCCCCGGTACAAGTCCCCTTTTGAACCCCCCACATGCAAATGTTGGATTTCCTAATATATTGGGCCATTTTTTTGCACTCCATCAACGGTATCGATTCTAACACGACTGTTCGTAAATGTTTCGATTCTTCAGCTTTCAAGAAATACCCATCGTTGGTGTATCCCCACCCCATAACTTTTCCAACCACCTTAATTTTATTATCTTTTAAAAAATGCGGATAAAGCGGAATCCATTTAACGTGATCGTTAAATTGAAGTTTCGTTTCAATGTTCGCTAAAACTATATCGTTATAAAGAAATTCGTTTACGTACTGAGGGTGTTGCACGGTTCTCTTGATTTTGTACCGTTTTCCTTTGTCCCATTCTTCGCTGCCTACGGAAATTTCAAAATGTTGGATCGATAAATATGTGGTTTTATCAACGTTTAAATCGACGAAACAATGCGCGGCTGTTAGAATGTAGTTTGGTGAGATTATCGACCCTGCACAATGATATTCGTTGTAGTAAATTAAAGCGGCTGTGTAGGGATGTTCAGCCGGGAGAGATATTGTGCCGTTTATGATTCTGTTTTGAACTGATTTTGTTGTTTCGAAGAAGAGGATTTGGGAGATTACGAAAAAATAACACCGAGTTAATTTCATTGTTGTGTTGAAATCAATTTGGCGCAATGATGTGGGAGGGTTAATTGATAAAATGATAAGGTGGGTGTTAATTGATATTTTTAAATTTTATTTTAAACATATTATTTTCTATCCAATCTAAATATAACGGAACTTTCGTTTAAACCTTGACTTTTGTATTGTTGCATATTATCATTGTTAGGTCGATACTCAATACGGCTAAAATGGAATGATTCTAGTTCTAGGTCTTGTGTTAGTTCTAGTGATAGTGCTAGTATAAAACTAGAATTAGAGTCTGAAGACGCACGGCTAAACCCGAAACTTTCTGGTTCTAGTTATAGTGTTAGTTCTATATAGTAAGTGTGCTGGTGTAAAACTAAAACTAACACTAGACCTAGAACTAGAAACATTTGGATTTAGACGCACGTCTTTAAAGACGGCTAAACCCGAATGATTCTAGTTCTAGATATAGTGCTAGTTTTAGTTTTACACTTGCACTATCACTAGAACTAACACTATACCTAGAACTAGAAACATTTGGGTTTAGCCGCATGTCGCTAAAGACGGCTAAACGCGAATGATTCTAATTCTAGGTATAGTGCTAGTTTCANTTTATTGATTTTATTTATGATTTTCTTTAACACCTTAATTAAAATAAATAATAAATCAATTATAACCGGTTAAAGGATGTGGTAAATGCACATTTTTCGAGATCCATCCATAAAACGACGAAATTCTCGTGTAAATTTCTGGGGTGGTGTTATTACAATCGGTGCCATAAGAAACTAATCCGATTTGATAAACCACCTTGTTAATTTTTACGACTAAGGGTCCCCCAGAATCCCCGGTACAAGTCCCCTTTTGAACCCCCCACATGCAAATGTTGGATTTCCTAATATATTGGGCCATTTTTTTGCACTCCATCAACGGTATCGATTCTAACACGACTGTTCGTAAATGTTTCGATTCTTCAGCTTTCAAGAAATACCCATCGTTGGTGTATCCCCACCCCATAACTTTTCCAACCACCTTAATTTTATTATCTTTTAAAAAATGCGGATAAAGCGGAATCCATTTAACGTGATCGTTAAATTGAAGTTTCGTTTCAATGTTCGCTAAAACTATATCGTTATAAAGAAATTCGTTTACGTACTGAGGGTGTTGCACGGTTCTCTTGATTTTGTACCGTTTTCCTTTGTCCCATTCTTCGCTGCCTACGGAAATTTCAAAATGTTGGATCGATAAATATGTGGTTTTATCAACGTTTAAATCGACGAAACAATGCGCGGCTGTTAGAATGTAGTTTGGTGAGATTATCGACCCTGCACAATGATATTCGTTGTAGTAAATTAAAGCGGCTGTGTAGGGATGTTCAGCCGGGAGAGATATTGTGCCGTTTATGATTCTGTTTTGAACTGATTTTGTTGTTTCGAAGAAGAGGATTTGGGAGATTACGAAAAAATAACACCGAGTTAATTTCATTGTTGTGTTGAAATCAATTTGGCGCAATGATGTGGGAGGGTTAATTGATAAAATGATAAGGTGGGTGTTAATTGATATTTTTAAATTTTATTTTAAACATATTATTTTCTATCCAATCTAAATATAACGGAACTTTCGTTTAAACCTTGACTTTTGTATTGTTGCATATTATCATTGTTAGGTCGATACTCAATACGGCTAAAATGGAATGATTCTAGTTCTAGGTCTTGTGTTAGTTCTAGTGATAGTGCTAGTATAAAACTAGAATTAGAGTCTGAAGACGCACGGCTAAACCCGAAACTTTCTGGTTCTAGTTATAGTGTTAGTTCTATATAGTAAGTGTGCTGGTGTAAAACTAAAACTAACACTAGACCTAGAACTAGAAACATTTGGATTTAGACGCACGTCTTTAAAGACGGCTAAACCCGAATGATTCTAGTTCTAGATATAGTGCTAGTTTTAGTTTTACACTTGCACTATCACTAGAACTAACACTATACCTAGAACTAGAAACATTTGGGTTTAGCCGCACGTCTCGAAAGACGGCTAGTTAATTTACACCATTATTAAAAAAGAACCACTGACGAAAGCATAGCAGTGATCACTGCTCGAGAAATAGCAAATCAAGAGGGACATAACGTAGTTTATAATATTAACCTACCTACTATGCGTCAAAAGTTGTAAAACATTTTCCGAAGGTACTAAAACGTTATAAAATAACGAAAATAATTTCTTTTTTCAAAAATTATTAGCGTTCGTCAAAATTTTTGCAAGTAAAAGTTATGTGAAATTAAAACTAAAAAATAGCGAAATTAGTACTCACATCCGGTATAACCGGAAGTACAAAAAGAATGATTTCATGTCGTAATAATCCGTTTTAGCGACCTAACTATGCATTCCAAATGGTTTTCTTATATCACCAATAATAAAGAAAAATATGGGGGTGAGCCACTTTTGAGGGACACCCGGTATAGAACTAACACTATACCTAGAACTAGAATCATTTGGATTTAGCCGCACGTCTTTAAAGACGGCTAAACCCGAATCATTCTAGTTCTAGGTATAGTGCTAGTTTCAATTTTACAGTTGCACAATCGCTAGAACTAACACTATACCTAGAACTAGAATCATTTGGGTTTAGCCGTACGTCTCGAAAGACGGCTAAATCCGAATGATTCTAGTTCCAGGTATAGTGCAAATTGAGTTTTACACTTGCACTGTCACTAAACCTAACAATTAAAACTAGAACTAACACTAGACCTAGAACTAGAAAGTTTCGGGTCTAGACAATTGTTATGTCTGAAGACGCACTTTGTAGAACTAATATTATACCTAGAACTAGAATCAGAATCAGGTATAGTGTTAATTCTAGTGATAATAGAAGTGTAAAACTGAAACTAGCACTATACCTAGAACTAGAATCATTTAGGTTTAGCCGTCTTTAGAGATGTGCGGCTAAATCTAAATGATTTTAGTTCTAGGTATAGTGTTACTTCCAGTTTTAGACTTGCACTGTCACTAGGACTAACATTAGACCTAGAACTAGAAACATTCGGGTTGGGTTGGGTTGGATTGCGTCTCATAAGACGGCTAAAGCCGAATGATTCTAGTTCTTGGTCTAGCGTTAGTTGTTCTTTTAGTTCAATAAAAATATACAACAATCTAGCGCTGTATAACAATTAAAACTAGAACTAACAATAGACCCAGGATTAGAATCGTTTGGGTTTAGCCGCACGTCTCTAAAGACGGCTAAACCCGTATGATTCTAGTTCTGGGTATAGTGTTAGTTTTAGTGATAGTGCAAGTGTAAAACTGAAACTAGCACTATACCCAGAACTAGAATCATTCAGGTTTAGCCGTCTTTAGAGACGTGTGGCTAAATCTAAATGATTTTAGTTCTGGGTATAGTGTTACTTCCAGTTTTAGACTTGCACTGTCACTAGAACTAACAGTAGACCTAGAACTAGAAACATTCGGGTTGGGTTGGGTTGGGTTGTGTCTCATAAGAATGACAACGCATGTCAAGAAAATAACGGAACGAGCGTCCGGCATCGCGGGCTCCATGTCACGTCTCATGCCCAGGATAGGCGGCCCGAGACAGAGCAGAAGAAGATTGCTAGCCACCGTGGTGAGGTCGGTCGTCCTCTACGCGGCTCCTGCCTGGGAGGATGCGCTGAAACATAAGAAATACGTCAACATGCTACGAACAATAGAGAGAAAGATGTCTATCAGCGTCACGTCGGCGTATAGAACAACAGCTACCGACGCGGCAGGGGCCTTAGCGGGCTGCCCACCATACGACCTTCTTGCCTGGGAACGGGCCGAGAACTGGCGAACCAAGGGCCTATGCAAGGAACAGACACGAGCGAAGATCCTAGACCGATGGCAGGATAGATGGATGGGGTATGGCGGATGGGCGCGCACTTTTATAGCCGACGTGCGAGTCTGGCAGAAGGAAGGGCCAGAGACCGACTATTACGCAACACAAGCGATAGTAGGGCACGGCAGCTTTGGGACTTACCTGAAAGAGATCAGGAGGAGGGAAAATGACGAGTGTTGGTTCGGTTGCGAGGTTCCGGACACCCCGGCTCACACCATTTTCGAGTGCCCGAAGTTTGACGAAGTTAGGCGACAGGCAAAGGATAAGGTCGGTAAAGAGGTGACCGAGGGAAATGTGGCGGAAATGTTAGTGAGAAGTGAGGATTCCGGACTTGCGGTGATGGAAATGCTGAGGGAAATCATGAAGATCAAGGAGAGGGGTGAATACAAATGGGAGGCAACACGAGAGGGGGGACACAATCCCCCCTCATCCGGGTAGGTACAGAATTAATAGTATTTCAAAAATGTACTGGAGAACAACCTGACAAGAAGGAGGAAGGAGGGAAAGCGTCATCCGGGAGATAGACCGGAGAGAGAGAGGAAGGAGGAACAAGAGAGTAGAGAGGAATAGAGAGAGTGGTGTTCCCATTTCCGGGAGGAAGAGGGGGAGCATCCCCCCATCCGGGTAAGAATAAAAACTTTAACATTTCAAAAAGTAAGATCATTTATGTCTCTCAACGGACGATGAGAGACCAGGGAAAAAGTGGATTGGAGAAGAAGAGGAAGTTTGAACGGGGGAGTAGTAAATGCAGAAGCGTGCTACCATTTCCGGGAGGAAGAAGGGGAGCAATCCCCTCCAACCGGGTAAGAGTAAAAACTTTAATATTTCAAAAAGTAAGATCTTTTATGTTTTCCAACGGACGATAAGAGACCAGGGAAGAGGTGGAAGGAAGAGGAAGAAGAAGGAGTTTGAGTGGAGGAGTAGGAGGTGGAGAGATGTGTTTCCATTTCCGGGAGGAAGAAGGGGAGCAATCCCCTCCATCCGGGTAAGAGTAAAATTTTTAACTTTTCAAAAAGTAAGACCTCTTATGTGTCCAAACGGGGGGAGAGAACGTCGGGGAGATAGAGGAAGAAAAGGGGGGAGATGAAGGGATCTTCAACGAGAGGAAGAATTCTGATGCTTTAAGAAAGGTATGAGGGAGATAAAGAGATAGAGAGGAAAAGGAGTAAAAAGAGAGGAAGGAATCTTATTTCGAACCTGGGAAGAAGAATTCCAATATAAAGCCCGAAGAAATGCCCGAGAGGGCGATTCCGGGCAGAGGAAAGGGGTTTTTAGTGGGTCGGAGTCTCACAGTTGAGCTCCAACCCCACACTATCCGGCCGTTCGAGACCGTTAGGCCGGATGTCTGATAACAGATTTTCGGTTTGTTTTAGTGATAGTGCAAGTGTAAAACTGAAACTAGCACTATACCCAGAACTAGAATCATTCAGGTTTAGCCGTCTTTAGAGACGTGCGGCTAAATCTAAATGATTTTAGTTCTGGGTATAGTGTTACTTCCAGTTTTAGACTTGCACTGTCACTAGAACTAACATTAGACCTAGAACTAGAAACATTCGGGTTGGGTTGGGTTGGGTTGCGTCTCAAAAGAGGGCTAAAGCCGAATGATTCTAGTTCTTGGTCTAGCGTTAGTTGTGCTTTTAGTTCAATAAAAATATACAACAATCTAGCGCTGTATAACAATTAAAACTAGAACTAACACTAGACCTAGGACTAGAATCATTTGGGTTTAGCCGCACGTCTCTAAAGACGGCTAAACCCGTATGATTCTAGTTCTAGGTATAGTGTTAGTTCTAGTGATAGTGCAAGTGTAAAACTGAAACTAGAACTAGAATCATTTGGGTTTAGCCGTCTTTAGAGACGTACGGCTAAATCCAAATGATTCTAGTTCTAGATATAGTGTTATTTCTACATAGTAACTGTGCTAGTGTAAAACTAGAACTAACACTAGACCTAGAACTAGAAAATTTATTATTTACTATTTCTAGTTCTAGATCTAGTGTTAGTTCTAGTTATTTAACGCCTGATTGTTGAATATTTTTATTGAGCTATCACCAGAACTAACAGACCTAGAATTAGCCGTCTTCAGAGATGCACAAGAATTTCGTCGTTTTACGAATGGATTAAAGATACGATGATAAAACGGTGATTAGTAAAATTGAGTTTATTATAAAATGATAAGATGTGTGTAAATTGCAATTTCAAGAATTTATTTTAATCCATAATCATGTTATCTTCTATCCAATCTAAATATAACGGAACTCTCGTGTAAACCTCGGGTTTTGTATTGTTGCAATCATCACCGTAGGACACCAACCCGATTTGAACCAACCCCTTATCGGTATAAGTAACCAAAGGACCTCCTGAGTCACCATTACAACTCCCCTTCATTGATCCACTCGTCATACAAAGATTAGTCGGATAAATATCCGAGTAATACTCTCTACATGTGTACCAAGGTATTGTTTTTAATTGGACGTAATTTAAGATTTCCGACGCAACACTAACCAATTTCTTCCCTGAATTAGTGAACCCCCATCCAACAACTGTTGCAGAAACTGGTAATCTATCATCATCAATATTTGTAGGGCTCGGCCTAATCGGGTGCACATTCGAATTAAAAATAAAGGGTTTTTTAACTCTCGCCAAGGCGATGTCGTTTATCACAGCATCGCTATCATAATTTTCGTGTGTTATTATCTTCTCAACAGTGTGGCGCTCACCTTCGCGCCAAATCACATTTCCCACCGTTATCATTACATCCTCTTCTTTTAAAACATCGTCACCTTCAACGAAACAATGACACGCGGTTAAAACGTAACGTTGATTTATAATTGCGCCACCGCAAACGTGTTGTTCTTCGTTTTGAATGCTTACAACGAAAGGCCATTGCCCATTAATGGCCGGGGTTCCATCGATGATCCGGGTTTTTTTCTTAATTTTAATCACTAAAATAAAATAAAATAAAATAAAAATCGATTTGAATTAAGATTGGAATTAAGTTACAGGGTTGATTTTTTCTGTTGAAATCATAACCATCGATGGATTTAATTAATATCGTAATCGCAAAAATAACGAAGATTATTACTTTTAACATTTTAAACAAGATATTTTTTTTTGTAACATTTTACTACAATCAACGTGATAATTTAAACCTACACGATTTAATTGTTTTGTTGGTCACTTCATGCACACCTTTTATTTTATTTATTTATTAACCCACAAAAAAAAACAATGCACATTACAAAACAAATCGAAACAATCTTAATCTTCTTGATAATAAAATGTTACTCCACGAGATTAAACCAAAACGTAAAATCAAAACGAATCATCGATGGCAGATTATCACCTCCAGGTCTACACACGTTCGTGGCGAGCATCTCCGTGCATGAGTATCATCGATGTGGAGGAACGATCGTTTCAAAATCGTACATTTTAACGGCCGCTCATTGTTGTTACGATAAAGATGAAAATGTCCTGAAAGAATCGAAAATTACGGTGTCGTTGGGAAGCGTTTATTGGGAAGAAGGTAAAATTAGAAACGTTACGAAAATTATAATTCATCCGTTGTTTGATCGAAAACTTAAAAAGAACGATATTTCCTTGTTAAGGATCGATAAAATTCGGTTAAAAAAAAAAGAAATCTCAACGATTAAACTTTACCCATCAAGAATTGACCGTAACATAGACGAAGAAAATTTGTTAAAAGCTACAGTCATTGGATGGGGACTTTTTAATGATGGATCATCTTTAGGTGATACTCCATCCAATCGATTGCGTTATGTTGATGTATATATTGTGCCTGAATATTATTGTAAGATGATTTATTACAAATTTCATAACACAAATCTTTGCGTGAGTAGTGAGGATATGAGAGGTTCTTGTAGTGGTGATTCAGGTGGACCACTCGTTATTAAACGTAGAAATAAATTTTATCAGATCGGATTGGTTTCTTATGGTGGTGATTGCAATAATACCCAACCGGAAGTGTATACGAAACTTTTTGATTATATTGATTGGATTAAAGATATTATTTCAATAAAAAGTTAAATATTTTTTAATTCGACAAAATCAATTGTTCAAACCAACCCAACTCTCTTCCATAGTTCTCGAACAGGAACTCTAGTTCTTCTTCCTCATATCCAATGTTTTATGATATCCTGGCACTTCTTTTAGATCTTAGTGATTCGTAATGTAAGCGTTTTATTATTTCTTTATCTTTACAATTTATCAATACTTTCGCCTCCTCGCCCCCATCACTTCCCTCATCCATCTTTTGCCCTCGCTCCCTTACTTCACTACACCTTTTCAGCATGTGTTCCAGCGTCTCCTAATCCTCTCCACATACCTAGTACCTATTCCCCCTCTCCTCATTGCCACAGCGGAATTTGGCCACCAATCTTCCCTTCATCATCCCCCTCCGTCAACAAATACTTTGGCAGTTCCTCTATCACTATCTCCCCATATCTTTCATTGTATTTCCCTTCTCGTATCTGTGACCTTCTTTCCTGCCTCTGTATGTCCTCGTCCCTATCTTTCAGTTCTTTCCAGATTTCACTCTTCTAAAAGTGAGTATCTCACTCATCTATAATATACACTGTTGGAAATAATTCACGAGCACACCCTGTATAATCTGAACGCGTGTGTCTAGCGCAATAAAACTTGGCATGGAAGTAGTACTAAAGTAGTATAACTTACTCTTACATGGAGAACGGCACAACTCTGCTGGGAGGAGAAACATCAATAGCGAGAGTATCCCCCGTGAGCTTCGCGTACCATCGCTATACGACATGGCATGGAGTCTATAAGTCGCTATATTGTAGCGAGAGGGATGGCCAACCATGCCACCTCAACTCGCCTTCATAGCTCCTCAACGTTAGCCGAGGAAGCCGAATAACGTAGAAGTCTCCGACCAGTCATGTCCCAAACATGTTCGATCGGATTCAGATCCGGAAAACGAGCTGGCCTAGGAAGCATTCGTATACGGCGCTCTTCCACAAAGGTCTGTACAATACGCCCGATGTGCGTTCGGACGTTGTCGTGCATGTATAGCAGACTTGGGCGCCGCCGAACGTAGGGAAGCACTACGGACCGTAGCACCTCATCTACGTATCGTTGACCCGTCATGGTCTGCTATACACGCAGCAGACGTGTACGTCCACCATGAGTAATCGCACCCCATACCATAATGCTCGGTTGTCGGTGGATAGGGCGTTCTTGCACACACTGCTCGAGTAGACGATCACCACGGCTCCGACGAACTAAAATTCGCGCATCACCGGTGCTCAATTCGAATCTTGATTCGTCGGAAAACAAAATGTCGCTCTACTCGGCAACCTACTAATGCCTAGCGTCGACCCACTCGTGACGTATGCTGCGGTGCTCGCGTGTTACTGGAATCCGCTGTATCGCACGACGCGCGCGCAGTCCACTATCTACCAAACGCCGCCGTACAGTTCGCGTAGTGAGTGCGCCTTCCCCTGCCGGTGGCCAAACAGCTCCAAGTTGCCTTGAGGAGGACACACACGACGCTAAAGCGCTGAGCACAAGAACGTGATCCTCGAGAGCTGGGGACGCGCAGGGCCGTCCCGGCCGCGGCTGTAGGTACCTATGTCCTACCTCAGACCATTCTCGCCATGCCCGTTGCACTGCCGATAACGACCGCTCGAGACGACGCGCAATTTCACAGAACGATACACCCTCAATGTGCATACACAATGTGGTTCCTCCCACCACACTAAAAACGATCGGTATTTTCCATCCATAGCGACGGAAGGTTCCACTTGGAAGGGCGGCTCAGTCAACAATGCCGCGACGGAACAACTCGAAACTCCCTGAATAAACTCGTCTACAGTAAACCTTTGTGCTCCGCAAATATTATGGATTTATCTTCACGAGTTCAGATTATATAGGGTGTGCTCGTGAATTATTTCCAACAGTGCAGATCAGCCTCCTCTCCTTAATTTCCCTCCAGCACTCTCCCAGAATCCTGCAATGCTGTCTTGCTTCTATCATTTCCTCCACATTTGCCTCCACCCTTACTGCATCCACCTTAACCTCCTCCCTCACTACATACCCCGGAGTCTCCCTTGCCAACCCATCTATAATACCGTGTTTATATATCCTCCAGCAAAGCTTTTTCTCTTCATCCCCATACTTCTGCGCCGTACATCATTGTGCTCCTTACCAAGCCATCAAACATAACCTTTCATGCACCTTTGTTCCTCCTATCACCACCATTTGCCCCTTTACAAGTCTGTTTTTCAAGTCCGCCGTATATATTGCAAATAGTGTGGGGCTAAGGGGGCACCACTGTCTCAATTCCTTTGTCGTCCAGAATACTTCACTTAACTCATCCCCCACTTTAACCTTGGCCATCGCCTCCCTGTACATCTCCTTCACCCTCCCTATCAGTTGTTCTGTGATACCTCTCCTCCTCATTTCCTTCCACAACTTCTCTTTATCCACGTTATCGAATGCAGCCTTCAGTTTAACAAACAATCCATACAGTTTTCCCCATTTCTTGTTCAACTCGCTATCTACCAGGTGTTTCAGAATGTATATATTGTCAATTGCGCCTCTTCCTGAATCCCGATTCCAACCCCCCATCTTTGCATTAATTTTGAAAATTATGTCCAACAGGTTGATCCCTCTATAATTGCTCACCACTCTTTTACTCCCCTTTTTATACAGTGTTATACCTGTTCGGATTACCGTCTTCAGACGCACGGCTAAACCCGAAACTTTCTAGTTCTAAGTCTAGTGTTAGTTCTAGTTTTAATTGTTATGCAACGCTAGATTGTTGTATATTTTTATTGAACTAAGACCTAGAGCTAGAATCGTTCGGCTTTAGCCGTCTTATGAGACGCACGGCTAAACCCGAATGTTTCTAGTTCTAGGTCTAATGTTAGTTCTAGTGACAGTGCAAGTGTAAAAAAGAAGTAACACTATAGATTCTAACACTAGAATCATTCATTGATTAACTCAACTATTAAGCATCTCTCAACATCGTTCCTGACATTGTTTAACATAGTTTCTTCTTGTTTTCTGCAACGTTGTCTTTGATGCCTTACAAAACATCGTCATCCTACAAGATTTTTTTTAGTTATAACGATTTCTTTTAATATAAATGTATAGAAAATTAAAAGTTCTTTAAAATGAACCCAAACTCGACCTATTTATCTCCAACCGTTATCGAGATATCTTAAGTTTTTGCAAAAAAAATGGCGATTATTTGACATTTGACAGTTTCTAACCTAACTTTTTTATTTTTTTAATCAAAATATATCAAGTTTGGTATCAAATTAAAGCATTTTTGATCCTTATTAAGATTGCTTTAATAATTATCAAAAATCGTTATATTTAATTTTGACATTTGACAGTTTGTAACAACTTTTTTATTATTTAACCCAAATATATCAAGTTTGGTATCAAATTAAAGCATTTTTGATCCTTATTAAGATTGTTTTAATAATTATCAAAAATCATTAAGATTCCAGGGGGAAGAGAAGAGAATATGACGTGTGGTGTACCTCAGGGTTCCATTATGGCAGCGACGAATGAAATATCTTCTATGACGCATCTATGATTGCGTACTAAGACGATTAGGAATGATTGTGAGCCTGGCGTATAGGAACTTGTCACGCTTAATTCCGAGATAGGTGGTCCGAAACAGGAAAGAAGAAGACTGCTGGGAACAGTGGTGAGATCCATAACCCTGTATGCAGGGCAAGCTTGCGAGATAGCTATGATACATAAAAAATATGCAAGAATGATAAGGATGAATAGAGAGGTCTTCCATCAGTATAACATTGGCGTATAGAACAGTTTCTACGCAGCCTGCAAGCACAATGGCGGGGCATCCCCCAATGGAACTGTTAGCAGGAAATGTGCAGGCTACTAGGAGAAAACAGGACAAGTGTTGAGTTGGGTAGACTTGATGACCCAAATAAATAAGTATCAAAGTATCAGCTGCTCCATGTAGGTTTACTACAATATTGTGCTATCCCTAAACATTTCTTATTCATCTTGTAATATGATTTCTATCCCAAGTAGCTAAGGTTAAAAATATTTCGAAATGAAGTAGAAAAATCTCTAATACACATTTTTATTAATTAATTCCGTCGTTGTCACATAAAACCTAGTTCTTTTTCTCCACGTAGTACTCCTTTTTTTGCTTAATTCCAATTTTCTAATTTCATTTCTAATCCAAGTGTAATAATAAAAAGTCCCATAAAATAATTGAGGCAATGAATTTTTACAAAAATCATCATTATAATCTATAATCCCAACTTGCACAATACGATTATTGTCGCCGATTAAAAGCGGCCCTCCCGTTCCCCCCTCGCAATAATCCCCTGATTTTAAAGAAACGCAAAAATAATAATCTTCGATTATCTTTTTATGAAGCGTTTTGCAATCTTCTTTGGCTAAAATATTCACGTTTAAATCCGTTAAGATACTTGGATTAATTTCTTGCAATTTTTCTTGATGGTCTTCGAGTTCTGGTTTTTTCCAAACAGCGACTTTTCCTTGAATTAATTTATTGAAATTAGCTGTAAAAGCGTCTAATTTAACAACGTTTACTTTCGCATCTAAAATTAACGGCGTTTCCAAAACTAAAATAGCGATATCGAATTTTTTTTCGGTTTCGTTGGAATGTTGATAAAAGTTTTCGTGGGTGACGCATCTTGAAACGTATCGGCGCCTTTCCACATCCCATTTCGGAGTTCCGGTGATAACCATTAAATTTTTTGGTTCGATTAACATTGAATTTTCGAAACAACAATTTGCTTGTGTTAAAATGTGACTTTGTGAAATGATTGTTCCGGCACACTTAAATGTTCCTCTTAGAATTATCGCAACCACGAATGTTGAAGTTGATGAGGTCGCGTTTTGTGTCGAACAAATTATTATTAAATGTGTCAAAATTAAGGTTGTTTTGATTACTTTTGACATGATACAATTAATCCTTCAAAATTAATCGTTAAAAATTATCCCCCAATGAGTAGAACTCGCCTTTACGAAATTCTTGCTGATATTGTAATATTTTGTTGTTGCTTTTGCGTGGAGGATCACTCAAAATACAATCAGCATTTCCAATGATTACAACTACAATAAGAAAAATGGAGTCTTAAAAATTGTATCGATGTTGTAAAAACGTAATAAAAATTTTATTTATTTATTATCATTTTCTTTTCTTAACAATGCCCAACTTAACAGATATTTTCCCCTCAAATTTATTCCGCGATATGGAACGAAACGAGATATTAAAGGAGTAATTGTGTACGAAAAATTCACTTTGGGAAATCTTAAATTAATCAAGTTAAATCCAAATTTAATTGGGTTGAATAAAAAGTTGAGCTGTTTAATCGCAGGATGGGGATACAGGATGTTGATCATCTTAATAATAATCAAAAATGCTTTAATTTGATACCAAACTTGATATATTTGGGTTAAATAATAAAAAAGTTAGGGTAGAAACTGTCAAATGTCAAAATTAAATATAACGATTTTTGATAATTATTAAAACGATCTTAATAGGAATCAAAAATGCTTTAATTTGATACTAAACTTGATATATTTGGGTTAATAATAAAAAAGTTAGGTTAGAAACTGTCAAAATTAAATATAACGATTTTTGATAATTATTAAAGCGATCTTAATAAGAATCAAGAATGCTTTAATTTGATGCCAAAGTTGTTATATTTGGGTTAAATAATAAAAAAGTTAGGTTACAAACTGTCAAATGTCAAAATTAAATATAACGATTTTTGATAATTATTAAAATAGTCTTAATAATAATCAAAAATGCTTTAATTTGATAGCAAACTTGATATATTTGGGTTAAATAATAAAAAAATTGGGTTAGAAACTGTCAAATGTCAAAATTAAATATAAGGATTTTTTGATAATTATTAAAATGATCTTAATAAGAATCAATAATGCTTTAAGTTGATACCAAACTTGATATATTTGGGTTAAATAATAAAAAAGTTAGGTTACAAACTGTCAAATGTCAAAATTAAATATAACGATTTTTGATAATTATTAAAATGATCTTAATAAGAATCAAAAATGCTTTAATTTGATACCAAACTTGATATATTTGGGTTAAATAATAAAAAAGTTATGTTCCAAACTGTCAAATGTCAAAATTAAATATAACGATTTTTGATAATTATTAAAGCGATCTTAATAAGGATCAAAAATGCTTTAATTTGATACCAAACTTGATATATTTGGGTTAAATAATAAAAAAGTTATGTTACAAACTGTCAAATGTCAAAATTAAATATAATGATTTTTGATAATTATTAAAATGATCTTAATAAGAATCAAAAATGCTTTAATTTGATACCAAACTTGATATATTTGGGTTAGAAAAATAAAAAAGTTAGGTTAGAAACTGTCAAATGTCAAATAGTCGCCATTTTTTTTTGCAAAAAATTAAGATATATCGTTAACGGTTGGAGATAAATAGGTCGAGTTTGGGTTCATTTTAAAGAACTTTTAATTTTCTATCCAGTTGTATCAAAAAAAAAATACCTTTATAACTAAAAAAAATCTTGTAGGATGACGATATTTTGAAAGGCATCAAAGACAACGTTGTAGAAAATAAGGGGAAACTAGAAACTATGTTAAACAATGTCAGGGACGATGTTGAGAGATGATAGATAACATTTATGAATCGAGAGATTGAAGACATGGAAGGATGTGCGAAATAAATTTGATGGTAATATACAGTGTGGCCCATTTGAAAGCGGAGCACCCTCGTAAAATCTGTATTTATTACCCGATTTCGACAAATTTTTTTTTTGAATTGTAGGGCGTAAAAACTGTACCTTCGGACAAAGAATCATATTTTTCTTAGAAAAACCAAGACCTATTTTACTTTTTGGGTGCTAAAATTGAAGAAATCATATTAGGAAATTTTTTACAACAAATCTGAGTACACCACGATTAAAAATTGTCGAAGTCGGATAATAAATACAAATTTTAGGAGGGCCATTTTGGAAGTATGTGGAAAATGGAGAGGGAAAGTGTGAAAAGCATCATGTATCAGGGCAACAGTAGCATAGAAAAAGGCGGCATGGAGGCAATGAATGGACTTTTCTTAAGATAATAGACAATTCTAAATGGTAAGGAGTATAAAAGACAATAACATATGGAGAACTTTTTACGAGTTGAAATTCAAAGATGGAGGACGGAGGAACCGGAAACGGTGGGAGAGAAATAGATGCAGAGGAGAGGAAGAATCAGAATCAGCGATGAAGAAGAGTTCTCGAGGCAGCTGGGGCGGACAAAATAGTAGCAGAAATAGTGAAGTCAGGAGGCATTGAATTGGACGAAGAAATTAAATAATTGTATCAAACAGTATAGATACTAGAAGACAAGAAGTCTGGAAGGTACTAGAGAAGAAAGAGGCTAAAAAGGGAGTTGTTGTTGCTTTTGCGTGGACGATCACTCAAAATACGATCATTTCCAACGATTACAACTACAATAAGAGAAATGGGGTCTTAAAAATTATATCGATGTTATAAAAACGTAATAAAAATTTTATTTATCTATTTATTATCATTTTTTTTCTTAACAATGCCCAACTTAAAATTAAGATTAATTTTTTTAGTATTAAAATTATTATTTTCCCCTCAAATCAATTCCTTGAAATATCACGATGTGGTTCCATTAACGAGAATAACAAACGGCGAAAACGCGCCAGAAGGAAAATTTCCATTCCTAGCTTCGATACTTCAAAGGGAAGAGCACGCTTGCGGCGGATCAATTTTAAATCAATTTTTAATTCTAACGGCGGCTCATTGTTGTTATGATCTCCAGAACGAGGTGCTTTTCGAGCCGGAGGATTTAAGAATTTCGGTGGGGAATTTATTTTGGCGATATGGAACGAAACGAGACATTAAAGAAGTAATTGTCCACGAAAATTTCACGTTGGGAAATCTCGGCTTTGACATTGCGATTTTGGTCTTGGAGAAACCGATCGAATTCACGAAATATATTAAATCGGTCAAGTTAAATCCAAAGTTGATTGGGTCGAATGAAAAGTTGAGTTGTTTAACTGCAGGATGGGGGTATAGGATGTTGGATGGTGTTATGGATCAAACTACGAATCATGGTTTGCAGTTTGTTGAGGTTAAAACGATCCCATTGGATTTATGTAAAGATATGTTGATCGATAAAATCGATGTTGAGTTGGAAAAGAAATATTATATTTGTGTTTTTACCGGGGATGGGAAAGGAACGTGTCATGCTGATTCCGGGGGTCCTTTAATGTATAATAACGAACAAATTGGGATTTTATCTTTAGGAATGGATTGTAACAACACCCTTCCTGAATTTTATACGAGAATTTCCGAATATTACGATTGGATCATGTTTAATATTAAATTAAAATCATAAATAAATAAATGTTTTTGTGTAATAAACTAAAATTTTTTTTGGAGATGGGGGAGTTGTTAAAATTTATGACAATTTTCGTTTTTATAATATTCCTTATATTATGCATTTGAAAGGATTTAACTTAGTATTGCATATCGTGTTTATAAAAATCGCAAAAAATCGATTTTTTAACCGATTTAATCAAAATTTTCAACAATGATTAAGAAAACTATGATCTTTCGAATGAAAAAGACCGATTTTGAAAGTATCTTTTAGTTCTTGAGATATTAATTTTTGAAGTTGAGGTAAATTCCTGATGTTTTAAAAATTTTAATTTTTACTTATCGTGTTTATAAAAATCGCAAAAAATCGATTTTTTAACCGATTTAATCAAAATTTTCAAAAATGATTAAGAAAACTATGATCTTTCGAATGAAAAAGACTGATTTTAAAAGTATCTTTTAGTTCTTGAGATATTAATTTTTGAAATTAAACTAAATTCTTGATGTTTTAAAAATTTCAATTTTTACCTATCTTGTTTATAAAAATCGCAAAAAAGCGATTTTTCAATCGATTTAATCAAAATTTTCAAAAATGATTAAGAAAACTGTGATCTTTCGAATGAAAAAGACCGATTTTGAAAGTATCTTTTAGTTCTTGAGATATTAATTTTTGAAATTGAACTAAATTCCTGATGTTTTAAAAATTACAATTTTTACCTATCGTGTTTATAAAAATCGCAAAAAATCGATTTTTTAACCGATTTAATCAAAATTCTCAAAAATAATTAAGAAAACTATGATCTTTCGAATAAACAAGACCGATTTTGAAAGTATCTTTTAGTTCTTGAGATATTAATTTTTGAAGTTGAGGTAAATTCTTGATGTTTTAAAAATTTCAATTTTTACCTATCGTGTTTATAAAAATCGCAAAAAATCGATTTTTCAACCGATTTAATCAAAATTTTCAAAAATAATTAAGAAAACTATGATCTTTCGAATGAAAAAGACCGATTTTAAAAGTATCTTTTAGTTCTTGAGATATTAATTTTTGAAATTGAGTAAAATTCCTGATGTTTTAAAAATTTCAATTTTTACCTATCGTGTTTATAAAAATCGCAAAAAATCGATTTTTCAACCGATTTAATCAAAATTTTCAAAAATGGTTAAGAAAACTATGATCTTTCGAATGAAAAAGACCGATTTTAAAAATATCTTTTAGTTCTTGAGATATTAATTGTTGACGTTGAGGTAAATTCCTGATGTTTTCAAAATTTCAATTTTTACCTATAGTGTTTATAAAAATCGCAAGAAATCGATTTTTCAACCGATTTAATCAAAATTTTCAAAAATGATTAAGAAAACTATGATCTTTCGAATGAAAAAGACCGATTTTAAAAGTATCTTTTAGTTCTTGAGATATTAATTTTTGAAGTTGAGGTAAATTCCTGATGTTTTAAAAATTTCAATTTTTACCTATCGTGTTTACAAAAATCGCAAAAAATCGATTTTTTAACCGATTTAATCAAAATTTTCAAAAATGATTAAGAAAACTATTGTCTTTCACATAAAAAAAGCCGACTTTAAAAATATCTTTTAGTTTTTGAGATATTAATTTTTGAAATTGAACTAAATTCTTGATGTTTAAAAAATTATAATTTTTACATATCGTGTTTATAAAAATCGCAAAAAATCGATTTTTTAACCGATTTAATCAAAATTTTCAAAAATAATTAAGAAAACTATGATCTTTCGAATGAAAAAGACCGATTTAAAAAATATCTTTTAGTTTCTGAGATATTAATCGTTGAAATTAAGATAAATTTTTGATGTTTTAAAAGTTGCGAATTTTTCCTGCTCTTTTTATAAAAATTGTTAAAAATCGGCTTTTCAACCGATCTAATTAAAACTTTCCAAAATTATTAAGAACACTACGTTCTTTCGAATGAAAAAGACCGATTTTAAAAATATCTTTTAGTTCTTGAGATATTAATTGTTGATATTAAAATAAATTTTTGATTGAAAAATTGCAATTTTTCCTGTTCTTTTTATAAAAATCGGTAAAAATCGACTTTTAAACCGATTTAATCAAAACTTTCAAAAATTGGTAATAAAAGTATGATCTTTCAAATGAAAAAGACCGATTTTAAAAATGTCTTTTAGTACTTGAGATATTAATTGTTGAAATTAAGATAAATTTTTGACGTTTCAGAAACTGCATTTTTTCCTGTTCTTTTTATAAAAATCGTTAAAAATCGACTTTTCAACCGATTTAATCAAAACTTTCAAAAATGGTTAAGAAAATTATGATCTTTCGAATGAAACAGACCGATTTCGAAAATATGTTTTAGTTCTTGAGATATTAATCTTTGAAAGTCGTGAGTTTTGAAAGTCTTGAAAGACATGCGGCTAAATCCGAATGTTTTTAGTTCTCGATCTAGTGTTACTTCTAGTATTGCACTAACACTAGCACTATCACTTGAACTAACACTAGACCTAGAACTAGAAACATTCGGGTTTAGCAGTGCGTCTGAAGCTCGAATTTTAAAGTTGTTAGGGGTGAGTTTATTAAGAGAGCAACCGTCGACCCATTTATGTGGAAGCCATTAATTATACCGCGGCCCTTTGTGCGTTAATTAAGTGGCCGTGTTCGGAAGGATTGGCATTCTTGGTGCTCACCAGCGGAAACTCTTGCAAAACCGGCCTTTATGCCGAATCAATTTGTCATCATGAGGGGTCACCGATCGATAACTTCCTTCCACATCATATCGTTTTCATGAAATAAATTAATTACATATAATTAGAAATAGTAAGCGTTATTAAAAGGGAAGATTTTCTTTTTATTATTGAAAAGAAGTTTTTTTAATCGTTTCTAACAAACATAATCCCCTCTAACGAACCGCGGTGGCCTAACAATATAAATGATAAATTAAAGCTGGACAACCACGGCGACGGTCGACAATGGCCACAACAAGGTGTAAGAAACGGCGAGCGGATGAAGAAAGGGCTCAAGTGCGCGAACGGGGCCTATTTTGATCGGGAATTTTAATACGATTGTCGTTGAATTTATTGTTCACGCACGACCGAACTTAACTCCGAGTTAAGAACCCTATTAGACAGATGATAATAACCTTTTTTAGACCCACCTCAATCCTAACTTTAATTCATCAATTAAATAATTTCCATTTTTTTTTATTTTAAAATCTACTTTTTGTCGATTTTACAGTTGCAAAGCGGTTACCAGTGGGATTACCCATTTAAGAAGATCGAGCAAACACGTCTTTTCCTTTCGTAAGTACGTACATATTTCTCTTTTTGTTACAGATATACGACGATTCTCCTAATTGAAATCGGGAGCGATTTTAATTGATTCGCGACGTGTAAAAAAAACCGAACTCGCGGACGCGTTTTGCAATTAACCGCAAAGTGCGGCCATTTTACCAATTAACGTGCCCCGATCTCGTATAAATATTAATACGATGATAAATGTCAATGCTGTCGACGATGTGGAATGTCGTGGCTGCGGACAGCGGCAATTAAGCCAACATAAGTCGCACATTTCATATTCAAATCCGAAGACGAATAGAATCGTGTAAGATTGTGTAGGTGGAAACAACCTCTACGTTACATTTTAATCATGCCACTTTTTATATTATTCTTAAAAATAACAATTGTATAACAAAAATTGAACTAAGCATGCTTACGTCATGTTCTACTGTGCGGAATTTCGTTCGCGTTGTTGCTAATTGTATCTATTAAGCTTAATAAGAACCAAAAATGCTTTAATTTGATACCAAACATGATATGTATGGGTTAAAAAATAAAAAAGTTATGTTGGAAACTGTCAAATGTCAAAATTAAGTATAACGATATTTTGATAAATATTAAAACGATCTTAATAAGAATGAGAAATGCTTTAATTTGATGCCAAACGTGATACATTTGGGTTAAAACATAAAAAAGCTAGCTTAGAAACTGTCAAATGTCAAAATTAAATAACGTTTTTTTGATAAATACTAAAACGATCTTAATAAGAGTTAAAAATGCTTTATTTTGATACTAAATATGATATGTTTGAGTTAAAAAATAAGAAAGTTAGGTTAAAAAATGTCAAATGTCAAAATTAAATATATCGATTTTTTGATTAATATTAAAATGATTGTAATAAGAATCAAAAATGCTTTTATTTGATACCAAACACGATATATTTGAGTTAAAAAATAAAAAAATTAGGTTAGAAATTGTCAGATGTCAAAATAAAATATAACAATTTTTGATAATTATTAAAATGATTTTAATAAGAATCAAAAATGCTTTAATTTGATACCAAACATGATATATTTTGATTAAAAAATAAAAAAGTTAAGTTAGAAATTGTTAAATGTCAAAATTAAACAACGTTTTTTTGATAAATATTAAAACTATCTTAATAAGAATTAAAAATGCTTTATTTTAATACCAAATATGATATGTTTGAGTTAAAAAATAAGAAAGTTAGGTTAGAAACTGTCAAATGTCAAAATTAAATATAACGATTTCTTGATTAATATTAAAATGATCTTAATAAGAATCAAAAATGCTTTCATTTGATGCCAAACACGATATATTAGGGTTAAAAAATAAAAAAGTTAGGTTAGAAACTGTCAAATGTCAAAATTAAATATAACGATTTCTTGATTAATATTAAAATGATCTTAATAAGAATCAAAAATGCTTTCATTTGATGCCAAACACGATATATTAGGGTTAAAAAATAAAAAAGTTAGGTTAGAAACTGTCAAATGTCAAAATTAAATATAACGAATTTTTAATAAATATTGAAATGGTCTTAATAAGAATCAAAAATGCGTTTATTTGATACTCAACACGATATGTTTGCATTAAAAAGTAAAAAAGTTAGGTTAGAAACTGTCAGATGTCAAAATTAAGTATAACGAAATTTTGATAAATATTAAAACGATCTTAATAAGAATGAGAAATGCTTTAATTTGATACCAAACGTGATATACTTGGGTTAAAAAA